AAAGTCACATGACCGCTAAAGTTTTATTCTGATATTTATACACATGAGTTGAACTATACACCATAAAAAAATCTAGACGCTAGACCCTCAGAAAGTGGTCAAACAGCCACTTCCGGTTTTATTCAATCCAATATGGCTGCCAAACTAATTGGCCAATCAAAATTCTGAAAGCATGTTGCACCAGTTCACATTAGGGACTATCAGTATAGAGCATTATCAGACCATTCCGTTCAGCGGTTTTCTCAAACGGCTTGACGAAAAAAGTTACGGAAGAAAGAAAGAAGAAAGAAGATGAAGAAGAAAAAACCGAACAATAAGAATAGGGGCCACGCCCTACAGGCTTGGGCCCCTAAAGATGGTGTGAAAACTGCAATCAGTATTTTCTATTTTATGCACTTGTGAAGCTGGGGAGCTTAGCAAGAGATGTTGTGATGTCATCATGTAATGGGAAGTACAATTGTACAAATAAAACTTTCAACATGCGCATAAATTAAAATGAATTTTCTTATTAAATTGATATCACCCTTACTTCCCACTTAGGTGTTTTGTCTACATGCAGATGTAGTAATCACCACATTTGTTTGAGATAGATAAAATCAAAGCGCGACTCCACAATCCCAGGGATTGTACCAGTGCATCATGGGAAATGTAATTTGCATGGCCCACCCAGTTGTTTATCATATAGATGTTATCATTTTATCGGCAGGTGTTAATTCTGTTGTTGATTTCCTGTTTTCACAATACTTGTCAGTCGCGCGCCAAAACAAATGCGCTGTTATCACCTCCATGAAAACAAAGAAAAACTGTCAGAGAGAGTCAAGTGACCAACAGTGTTGAGGAACGGTGATCGGCCCCACTTTGTTAAAAAGTTTCTGAAGGAATAGAAGACGCCCTCCACTGGAAACATAGAAGATAGAAGTGTAAAGATACAGAGAACACGCTGACAAAATGTCATCAAAGAATACAAAGGAAAAAGTGAAAAAACTGAAGGAAAAAGAAACCAAGGAAAAGAAACTTATGGAAGCCTACATGGCTTCGAAGACAAGCACGAAGGAGGCCAAAAAGGGGGATGGTGAAGAATCGGGCTCCGAAAATGATCAAGTCTCAAGCTATTCTCTGAAGACTATCACTAAACTGATCACTGATCTAAAACAAAGCACAGAGGCAGGTTTCAGGGATATAGCAGGAATTTTAATACGAATGGGAGAGGTGGAGAAGAAGTGCAGTGAACTGGAGGTAATGGTAAAATACAATGCGAACACCGGACGGGAAAATGCCCAGGAAATTGACCACTTGAAAAAAAAATTCTAGAAACTGATAATAAACATACAAAAGAATCAAGTCTTAGAAACGAAAGAAATTCCAGAAGTTTCAGTTTGAGATTTTATGAAATCAAGGAGAAAGAACAAGAAAATGCTCGGAGCACTGTGAGGGAAATGGTGAGTGACAAATTTGGTATAGATCCCAAGACCGTGGAAAACACACATCAGATCCTTGGGGACCCCCGAAAAGTAATCATACTCGGGCCATAATTGCAAGATTTATCTACTGTCCACATTCAGGAAAATACTGAACGGAACTGAAATATACTTAAAAAAAGATCTCTGTGACAAAGACTACAGAAGAAAGAGAAGCATGATTCCAATCATGCAAAAAATATGGCGGGAAGGCAGAAGACCAAGATTTCAGAACGGGCGACTCTACATTGATGGAAAACCATGTGATAACGCCGAGTGGATAGAAGAAAAAATTGACTGATTGTGATCCGGACAATTATGACACTGGGGAAATTTGGGAGGGTGAATTATTAGATATAGAAGGTTAGTTCAAAGGGGTGGCTGTAGCGTTCGTGTGCATCGGTGATGGCAGACTTGAGTTTAGTCTTTTGGGGTTGGTAGTTTTTAGAGGGAGCCTGCCGGGCAATGGGTATGGGTTTTTTCTATTTTCTTGTTTTCTTTGTTTTTTGTTTTTTTATTTTGTTAGTTTCTCAAAAAACTTAGTCCAAATGTGCATATAAATACAACAGTTATGCAGTAGTCAGAAATTAAAATTTTGACTTTGAATGTTAGGGGAATTAGCCAATTCAGAAAGTGTAAGCAAGTTTTTAATTGGCTGGCTAAAAAGAGCAGCGATATCATAATGTTGCAAGAAACCTATAGCATAGTACAGTGTGAAAGTGAATGGCAGAGCCAATTGCGGGGAAATTTGTTGTTCAACCATGGTTCATCAACAGCAATTTTTAAAAACATTGACTATGAGATTCAGAAGGTGACCTCTGACCCAGACGGTCGGTATCAGATCCTGGATGTCACATTATATGGTAAACATTTTTTTCTTATAAATTCCTATGCCCCCACTTTGGAAAAAGTTACTTAACCAAGGCGGTATGTCAGACCTAGAAGTGTGTTTGTTAATTCCTATGCCCCCACTTTGGAAAAAGTTACTTAACCAAGGCGGTATGTCAGACCTAGAAGTGTGTTTGTTAATTCCTATGCCCCCACTTTGGAAAAAGTTACTTAACCAAGGCGGTATGTCAGACCTAGAAGTGTGTTTGTTAATTCCTATGCCCCCACTTTGGAAAAAGTTACTTAACCAAGGCGGTATGTCAGACCTAGAAGTGTGTTTGTTAATTCCTATGCCCCCACTTTGGAAAAAGTTACTTAACCAAGGCGGTATGTCAGACCTAGAAGTGTGTTTGTTAATTCCTATGCCCCCACTTTGGAAAAAGTTACTTAACCAAGGCGGTATGTCAGACCTAGAAGTGTGTTTGTTAATTCCTATGCCCCCACTTTGGAAAAAGTTACTTAACCAAGGCGGTATGTCAGACCTATAAGTGTGTTTGTTAATTCCTATGCCCCCACTTTGGAAAAAGAGCACGCTATATATTTAAAAAAGTTACTTAACCAAGGTGGTATGTCAGACCTAGAAGTGTGTTTGTTAATTCCTATGCCCCCACTTTGGAAAAAGAGCACGCTATATATTTAAAAAAGTTACTTAACCAAGGTGGTATGTCAGACCTAGAAGTGTGTTTGTTAATTCCTATGCCCCCACTTTGGAAAAAGAGCACACT